CAGAGAGTACTGTAAAGTTATTAAATAAAAATAACTACAGATAAGAGGCAAACCAGGTTGTAGTGCGAATCGGTTAATTAACTTATTGCAGTTACAGCGCAGATGTAAACATCTGTTTGTTGGGAGCAGTACCCAATGATCTAGCACATTAATGCTGCGTTAATATGGCCTTTGCTGAAATACTGCTTCATGATATATTTTCCACAGTTGCCATCCCCCTGGTGGAATGAGCTCTCAACCCCTGGGGCAAAGCAAGACCTTTGGTGCTGTATGCCAGTGAGATAGCTTCTATAATCCAGTGGGACAGCCCAGTCTCCGCAACTCTGAAAGTCTCTGTGTGGCCAACAGCAGACAACATTATGCCCATATCGTAGCCTAAACCGATCATGAAGGTGCTGCTTAGAGTAGCTGAATATGCTGCTGAAGTGGATCCTTTTTTTTTTTTTTTTGGTTTTTTTGGTTTTTTTTTAAATTGCCTGCATGGTTCAGGGTATAAGGGTAGCACACATTGCTCCACAGTGGCATGGCTACAATTTTAAGTGGCAATATCGTTTTAAATCATTATACCGAACCTAGATTGCACATTGGGGGAAAAGAGAGAACTTTGAATGTGTGCTGATATGGCTTTGGTCATGGGCCTTATGTTTGTTAAATCCTAAACACATAAGAAGATAAAAAATTATCTTCTTATGTGTAGAAGATAATTTTGTTATATACTAAGATGCAGCTTTCTTTGTCCCGTACCTGTGTTAATCCCTTGACCCCTACATGTAGAGGAAGTTCTGGCTTGCAGGATCTTCACAATTAAGGCAGTATCTTGCTTCCTGTCTCTGGAGAAGAGAATACTTGTTTAAAATGACCGGATTTCTGCCTGGCAACAGTGTAAAGCACTAAATTTGCATAACATCTGCCAAACTCTCAGCTGTGTAGCAAAAACGTTTGACTAATGCATCTTTTGTTGTTGTTTTTTTCCACAGCTCTGCCTCTTCAAATTTAGAAGGCTGTTTGATTACAAGAAGCACATACTTTCAGATGTACATCACCAGGTGGGCATTAGACTTAATATTTTAAGAAACATTACTTAACATTTTTTTTAATCTATTTATTTTTTGGGGGCATGAGGTAACCTTGCATTGCCTATCGTCTCAGGGTGTGTAAGGTTCTTTTGATTTGGAAGGAAAAATAAGCGCAGACAGAGTCCTAGGGGGTGTCCAAAACCCCTCTCTGCCCGTTACAGGAAGCTTTATAGCCATTATGACGTCAGAACAATTCCTGGGACTCATCTTCCCAGAACAAAAACCCTTTCCCAGACTTGAAACCAGATGTTTCCCATCATCGGTATTTGGGAACATAAACAGTGTGTACACGAGTGTGCAGTTGTGTGAGATTGTAGGTCCAGGCCAACGAAAGTTGAGTGTCCTTATCTGACCTACAGCTACAGTGGGGCAAAAAAGTATTTAGTCAGCCACCGATTGTGCAAGTTCCCCCACTTAAAATGATGACAAGGAATGGGCCAAAATACCAGCTACTGTGTGTGCAAACCTGGTAAAGACCTATAGTAAACGTTTGACCTCTGTTATTGCCAACAAAGGTTAT